CCCAGTGCTTAGGGTTGGTGTGTTGCACTAATAACCAAAAGAGCGTGGGTTCGAGCGGCAGGGTGGAATATAGCTGGCTGATGACGGCTAACAGTCCAAAAATTACTATGTGAATCTCCTTTTACCAATAGCTGGCTGGCTGGTGACGCAGTGGTAAGGGCGTTAGACTTCTAACTAACAAGGTCACGGGTTAAAAACTCGAGCCGGGTACCAATTTCTGAGGCAACACTTGAGCTAAGTACGCCTAGCTGACGGCGGCTAATAAGCCAAAAATGGTCAACCTAGTCACCCTTGACTTTGTCGGTAAAGTCCCCCTGAATATATCATTAGCCGCATTGCGGTGTAGGCTTAAGTGTGAGCTCCAATGGCACAGATCAGTGTACTCGTATCTGCCACTGTATATCCCCAAGCAAATGCCGACAAGACAACGGGCTCGTAGCTCAATGGTTAGGGCGTTTGACTCCAATCAGAGAGGTCACGAGTTCGAGGCTCGCTTGTGACACCACTTGAGTCTCGGTATGACTTGTGCTTGTCGCTAATGTCTTTCTGCATATAATGTATTTTATTCATAATTTATCCGATTGAAACCCACAGAACATAAGGCCCGTGGCTCACTGGTTAGAACGTTGCGTTTCAAACCGACAGGACATGGGTTCGGAACAAAGGTGCTTTCAAACACGAGGCTGGGTATGGCTGCCTGATCATGGCTAATAAGCTGGAAAGTACTATTCCGATCTTCCTTGTCTTTTTCGGTACTCATGCATGGAACCGACGGTCAAACCGTTATTTCATCATATGCTAATGCTACTAGCCGCTATGCGACTGCCCACGAGGACACCAAAGTTGACGCCAAAGCACAAAGAATGTGCCGTAACCAGATCGCGGAGGCCCAAAATTTCATTATAATTCCGATTGCAGCGACAAAATAACGGGCCCGTAAATCAATGATAGAATGTTACACTCAGTAACCAAAACGGCACGTGATAGAACCTAGGGGGATCCATACCTGGGAGTGGGTAGGACTGGCCGATGTCGACTAATAAGCCAGAAATGACCATTCGAGTCCGCCTCCGCCTCCCTCGTCTTTTTCTATTCCATCAGTCAACGGGCGAAGCATG